CTTTTAAAGGGGTAGGTTCCCCCCCCCCCCCAACTTTGCATGAAGGGACTGGCTGCTATCCAGTAGCTAAATGGAAGAGACCCAGTTAATGTAGTGGTAAAATATGATGCACCCTCTATTGAACCATGGGCATCTTTGGCTTTTAGCAATAAAATGCTAAGGGTGATTAGAACGATTTAAAATCTGTCAGGCTTGAATATGAATATGCAGGCAGCAACTAACTGTGCCTTTAAATGGCTGTTTTTATGGGTGCTAACCGTTTAACTACTAACAGGCAATAGCCACTATACTGCCCAGTTATTCTAGATTTGTACAGAATATTGGAAACTGGCTTTTATAGACAGAGGTCATACTTATTGCAAATCTAACAAATTGGCTTCATTGCTATAAATTGAAATTTATTCCCAAAGAATTACATACAGTATAAGATTGGGGTGCTAATATTAAAAATAAATACAAGAAATAGATTTTTTGTTCAGAAATGTACAGAATGATTTCAGGTGGAAGAATTAACTTACCTGATATGAAACAAGTTTTTTTAGGATATTACATAGTTGTGATAGTTATTTAATGGCTTAGCACTGGTGCTGTAAATAGATAACTGTATGTTAATTTTCTTAGGGTGCAGACCTATCCCATGTATTTTGTACCAAAGATGCAGCATCTGTGATCAAGTCTTATAGTCCAGAGCTGATTGTTCATCCAGTTTTGTAAGTCTCCTTGTTATCTCTCTTGGTTTCTTTATTTTTCGCTCTCAGCACAAATATTAATGAGCTGAAGCTGTGTAAGGCAGCAGTGCATACGTTATAAGCTAGGCCCCCCAGTATTCCATTGTTGGTGTTGAACGCTGGTCCATATATCTTCACATGGATGCTCATGCCATCTTTCTAGGTCAAGGTGTTATAGAAGAGCCGAAAGTACAGAGTGTCATCAGATTTGTTAGACAGGTACTGTGTACCTGAAATTTTAGGTGTGGTTTTTAAACAGTATATATAGCAATACAGACATATAGCCTGCCACACTGTGGTACCCCTGTAGGTGTAGCAAGTTCCTATTTCCCTGAAAATAACCCCTAACCTGAAAATAAGCCCTAGTTTGATTTTTAAGGATGCTCATAATATAAGCCCTACCCCCAAAATAAGCCCCAGTTAAGTGAAAACCCGCCCTCCACCATTGTGCATCAACCAGAACAAGACAACGTGACTGTATTTGAATAAATGTAAATTTTTATACATGGAAAAAAAATCCCCTGAAAATAAGCCCTAATGTGTTTCTTGGAGCAAAAATTAATATAAGACTCTATCTTATTTTTGGGGAAACACGGTAAGTGTTACTAGAGTTAATCCAGATAATTAAGATGAAGTGTGTGCCTTTTAAAACTTTGGAACTTTTTAATGACAGCAGAACTTCAATTGCATTCAAGGTAAGTTGAAAACAGTGTTGACTCCCATCTCCCAGAAGTGGTAATGCTCAAAATTCCAGCGCCTATTATTTCACGTGCCATGATTATATTTGAGAAAAAAATGATCAGGAATGTTAAAACTGTTTTTGGGTGGGGAAAAACAAGGAGAAGAGACCCTTTAGATGCTGCTGCACACTGGGGAAAGCAAGTTGCATATCTGGTAGGGACAGCAGTTGGAGTGGGAGTATGTTACATATTAAGATTTCCTTTTGCTCCTACTCACATTTAAAAAGAAAGAGGAAACATATCAGCCAGCCATTCTCATAGGAGATTGTCTCCTTTTCTTGTTTTCACTTGCTAGCTTCCCGAGCAGAGTTAGGTTAATTTCCTTCCTTACACTTCTTCACAGAGTGTCATCTTTTTTGGTTAAAGCAGAAATCAGTTGCCAGACAGAAAGTACTGTTACCTTAAATGTTCACTTCTCCCTTCAACAATGTTGGGGTTAGAGGTGACAGACCCACATGTAGTTCAAAATCTCTGTACTAGTTAGCAGCACAATATTTATTGAATGTTTATTGAATATTTATTTATTTATTGAAATAATCTGTGCAGTTCAAGGGAGATCATAGGAGCTGCAAAGGATTAGTTTTTGATCAATCTTTTCTCAAAGAGCAGATCTGCAACAGGGAGGTGCTCCTGGTGGAAAAATTATTGTTTTGCAGCTATTAAGGAGCTAGAAAAAATGCACAAGTCTAAAGATGTGTTGCTAGAGAACAAGGCCAAAATCTTCCACATTGTGATACTCACGATTAATATATATAGATGTGAAAGCAGACAGGAAGAAGTGAATCTCTTTTAAAATGGGGCATTGGAGGAGAACTTTAGAGATAGAGTGGACTACTAGAAATACATATAAGTGGCTTGTGGTTCAAATCAAATTTCAATTGTCACTAGAAAAGAAAATGACTAAACTGAGGCTGTCCTGCTTTGGGTACAACTTCTGAAGACGTGCTTCACTGGAAAAGAAAATAATGCTAGCAAGAATTGAAGACAGTAAGAAAAGAGGATGGCTCGACAAGATGGGCTGACTTGGTTCAGAAAAGGAAGCCTTGACTTCAGTTTATAAGATCTGAGCAGAGCTGTTAAGCATCAAATTTTTTGGAGGTCAACGACTTACAGGGTTGCTATAGAAACAAATTGATATCACATAGCAATCTGTTTGGTTAGAGTAGTCCTTACACATAAATGCTGGGAGCGGCTCTGATTGACCTTTTCCTCATCCCTCCTTGTGCAGTAGTGATGCATCAATCTGCATCTATAGGACTGAGGCAATACCAGACTGTCCTACAGTTTTTCCAGGAGTAACTGGCTTTGTTATACTCCATTGTGTGAGCACAGTGGGCTCCATTTTCTGTGAAGGGTTTCTGTATGGTTTCTGTATGGATGGATATAACCTAACAAAAAAAAGAAGACAAATGATTTACGTGAGAGGCTGATGGTCATGTTCTTACTGGAGGGGCTTTTGGAGGTAGCATTTCCTACCCTAAAATGGGAAAAATATATATGTGCTTGCAATCCAAGAATCAAATCTTTGAGAACATAATGGTCTGTGCCCTGTTTCCCCTTTTAGGGACAGGTCTGATGCTGTTCATGAAGTGGAAAAGTGGCTACCACGTTTACACTCTGTTGTTGTAGGACCTGGATTAGGAAGAGATGATGTATTACTTGAGAATGCCAAGGTAATGTGGATTCTAGTATCTTGTTCAAGAATGATCTTCAGTGTAGTCATCCTGTTTTGTTCATGAAACTATGTTTCTGTTTTGAAATTGTAACTGCTTGTTCTAAGTACTGATAATAGTGAAATACTGTATCAGAATTAGCAGCTATAGCTGGTGAAACCTGTCGTGTGGATTACAAACTCTTATGGACTACAAACAAAGAATAATAACCTGACTTTGTAAAGTAGGACTTCGTTGACTATACTGTTGTAGACGCAGATGTTGCCGGCAGCATTAAAATATTCAGCACTCCACTCCAACCATAAGCCACTGACTGGTTCAATACTCTTGGCTGATTGCCCAGTTGGGCAGGTCAGTGAATGTACACGCAAGGTGCAGTGGGTTGCATGCCTACTGAGGCCCTGTGTAGGCCTCCCCAAATTTTGCCCAAAAGATGCATTAGTGTCTGCTGGCTCTTGTCACTGGGCCAATAGCTGTGGAATGCCTGTCTTGGTTGCTGCTATTCTGTTGTTGAAAAAAAACATGGGCAGGGGCTTGGGCAATGTAACATTTGTCCAGAAGAGGTACAGAGGATCTGAGGGCCCCTGCCTGTTGATCAGTGGTGGCTGGGTGATGCTGAAGGGCATTTAAAAAAATTAGTTTTAAAATATCAGCTGTGTAAATTCAGGCTTGGCAACATGTTCAGTTGGAGACCTTCCTCAACTCAGACAGAATGCTTTTTGAGTTCAAGGCAAAATGAAAATGGTGTGACCGTCCCAGATATAGATGCAGGTGGAAAAGAGGAATGAGTAATAGGAGCACTAGGTAGCTTTTAAGAAGTTTTTTTTCCAGAAGAATGTAAAATGTAGTTTTATAGTATATTCATTTAGTCTATGCTACATTAGAATGTGGGACATTTAGTAGCGTATGCAGAGGATTTAGAAACAGCAACTAAGGTGGCAGTGGTCTTGTGCTTACCAAACAGGAAGTGTTAAGGCATAAGGCCACTGCCTCCTTAGCAATTATTTCTGTTAGCCACTGTGAAGAACTTTAACAAGTTCTTGAAATTTATGAAATTTATGATCATTCTCGTTAAATTATCTGGAGTGTTGTTGAGAGATAAAAATAACATCCCCACCCAAACACATATCCCACCTGAAAAGTGTGGTGTTTCTTGCAATAATTCACCAAATATTTATTTTGAATATGTATTTCCAAAAAGTGGTAAAATGAGCAGTCCAAGTAGTGTTGGGAAGAAAGGGAATGATGTCAGAATTAATCTCCTTCGCCCATGATTCCATCTGATTAACTAGTAATGGGCTGTGCTAGTTAAGGTTGCTGATATATACAGAGCAAATTTGATTACAATGTTTGTCATCAACAGCACGTACTGATAGATTACCTGTTTGCTGAATCTACTATAACATATATGTGAGAAATTTAGAAGAGGTAGCTGCGTTAATCTGTGCTCACAGGGATGGAAAGTATTGGAGTTTTAGCAACCTTTAAGAGGTTTGACTGGGAAGAACCTTTCTCAGCTGGGATGACTGTCAATCAATCCAGCAGTAACCAATCGTTCCCTCTCTGCCTCTGATTTTTAAGAGAGGCATGCCTCTTGCCTAAGAAAGTTTCCCCCTCTTTTTCCAGTCAGTGTTCAGTTAGAGTTATGCTATTAGTCATGTAATTTTGAGTCAGTTAAGCCCTTTTGTAATCAGTTTTTCTACAATACACTGTTTTTTATGTGTTCAGAACTGTGAGTAAACGGAACCTTTATTTTTCCTCTTAAATATGTGTTAGAGTGAGATATTGAGACTATAAATGCCAGTTATGGGACAATAAAAGTGGTCTACTCTGGGGAGACTTGAAGCTAACTCTGCTCTCTAGTTCCCTATACTTCTGATATATAGTTAGAGGTTTTTTAGTCAGAATTTCACACTGTACCAAGAGGAGGATGCCCAGAGCCTGATAGTCATCATGGTGCAGTAAAGTATGTAATATAATATGGAGTATATAATAACAGGCTTTGGTTCTTACTTGACTTCTTCAGCAATTTTTTAAGAAATTGCATATCAGGACGAGAATTTTCTAATACTCAAGATAGCCGAAATACCTGTCCACAATGCTCCTGTTGTTTTGTGGATAGCCTTACCTTCATCTGGATGGTGGCATAGCTGAACAATTCTAATATGGATAAGGAGTACATTTACCACTGTTAACATTAGTAGAGTATTTGAAGGTGAGCATTAAATCTACTGTACTACAGATGAACAAATTATGTGAGTCCATGACAACTAGTGGGTTCCCAGTACCTGCCCTTGTTTATAGTGGCTTCTGGAGAACTTACTTCCAAATCAGAGTACAGTGGTGCCCCGCATAGCGACGTTAATTCATTCCGGATTAATCGTCGCTATGCAAAAACATTGCTAAACAGAACGTAAAAAGCCATAGGAACGCATTAAACTTTGTTTAATGCGTTCCTATGGCTCCGAAATGCACTGTTCAGTGATGTTCCTCCATAGCGCCGCCATTTTCGTGCCCTCGGTAAGCGAGGGCAGGGCGCGAAAACACTTGCGGCGGCCATTTTGGGCACCCGGCGGCCATTTTGGAACCGCCGATCACCTGTTTAAAAAAACATCACAATGCGATGTTTTGCCTATACAGAACATCGCAATGCAATCGCATCAGCGATCTAAAAAATTTGATCGCTATGCGAATTCATCGTTAAACGGTGCACTCGTTATGCGAGGCACCACTGTACTTCAACTAAATGGTATAAGGAGTTCTGCAAAACCTGTTGTGACCAGTAAAATAATGGAAGTAGATATTAGGATGGGGCTTAGTGTAAAATAGCGCTAGAATCTGTTAATGAGATATTGATTGTAAGTCATTGGTCAGGAGAGAAAATCTTGAATAAAGATAAATTTTAATAAGTGATTTCAAAGAATAAACCAAGAGAGTTTCAGTCACAGCTAGTTGACAACAGCTAATTTCAGGACATGGCTTTTAAAACTAACAAGGAGATAGTTCTTCATTGTCTATACATTCCTTTCTACCAGGAAGTTTATCTTTTTTTTATTCTAAAAATGTCTATTTTTTAATTAGACAGGAATGTAACTTTTTCGTTTATGTCCAGAGTAATTTTACATTATTTCAGTATATGGACTTATTTTTCAAGGAGTATTCATATGGAAAATTGTTGTATTAAATACTTGTTAAAAGCTAGCCTTATTTTTAATTCTTTTCTTTTAATCAGGGTATTATAGAAAAATCCAAGGTCAAAGGAATTCCTATAGTAATTGATGCTGTAAGTATTTTTTTTTACAAAATATTGATAGTACAGATTTCTATGAATTTTTTAACAATTCAACATATGAATCATAAAAATTCATTAAAAGCTGAGTATTTTTATTAGGGGTTTTTAAAGATACTGTTATTGTTAGTACATATGTCTTTCTTACTGCCCTATACAGGATGGTTTATGGCTTATTGCCCAACAGCCGTCTGTTATTCAGGGTTATCCTCGAGCTATTCTTACCCCAAATGCTATGGAATTTAGCAGACTTTATGAAGCTGTGGTAAGTTTTTTGGTGGGGGATTGTTTTTGGCAACGTTTATCGGCAAAAATACTGTTGCTTAGTGCAGTAAAATGCGGGAAAGAGCCCATTGAATCAATGGGAATTTGGTGAGTCAACAGCTCTGTGTGTTCCATTGATTTAAATGGAATTAGAGGCCTACTCTAATTGCATCTTCCTTTAGCATAGTAACTTATGAAGGAGTTAATGCAAATCTGCATTGATTCAGTAGTAACATTCAAAACCAATTAGATGTACAGTACAAGCTCATGTATATTTACTTAAAAATAAGTTCCACCATAGGGCATATCCACCCCCCACTAAGTATGTGTACGGCTGCTGTTTTAGCCTTGTCCATATTCCAGTAAAACTTACATAAGATATTACCTTCCTTAACTTTCTGATGAAAGGTGTGCATAGAACAAGGATAAAAGATACATCTTGTTACTACTGAATTACAAATCTAATTCTGTATTATTTTCTCTTTTTCTATCTTAGCTTAGAGACCCAGTAGATAGCAGCGATCATCATGGATGTCTGCTAAGGCTCAGCCAAGCCTTGGGAAATTTGACAATTGTTCAGAAAGGAGAACGTGATCTTATTTCAGATGGAGAAAAAGGTAGTGAAAGGAAGAGACACAGCAAATGGTTTTATACATATAAGTTAGTTTTGTTACAGATGGATGTTGAGAAGACAACAAAACTAATGTACATAAATGTATACTAAAGAAATCTGTATATAGAAGGAATTTTAAAAAATAAATGATAGGTCTTCTATTTTGATCAAAAATCAATGGCTAATGATTGTAAAAGTATTGGTATTAAAACATACATATTATAACCTCAATGGTCACAACAGATATTGTGATAAATGCAAATATACACAAAAGCTGTTAAAACTATTTTAACAAAATTAATAAAATTATGTAGTGATAAAACATTTCACCTTCATGGAAGAGATTGTTATAACGTTTTGTCCAAAGCGATTGTGTTTACAGAATGATGCAGACATTAGAGTGTAACTACAAAGAAACATTCCAGAAGTACATGACAGCAAACACGCAGGGTGCTTTCACAAGAATTTGTTGTAATTGTAATTTCCAGCCCTGGTGGCATAACAAGTTACAAGCACTGTTTTAAAAAAGTGAATGTTCTTCTTCATGGTCTCTGTGAATGCACACAAATGGGTTAATCTGTGCCTGCACAGGACTCATCAGAACTTTCTAAGAGCTTAAAAACACGTGATTAGTGGGGCGTTCCCCCGTGGAGCACATGTTCCACCCATCAAAAGGTCCCTCAGTTCCTTTTAGTCACCGCTGAGGTTAGACTCCTTCATGATGACTAGAGGAACTTTTTTCATATTGCCATCCTCAGATTTCTGTTCTGCCTTCTAGGCGTCTCCAATATTTGGTTCTCCCTTGGATGTTTTCCTGTGAGTTCTTTTGCCTTTTTTCCCACCCCCCACCCCCGCTTTTGTTTCCACTCCCCATTCCTGCCCTTTTTATGGCCCCTCCAGGACCATTTAAATCGTGCGTTTCGTGTGCCAACAAGATCCCTCTATCTGACAGCCACAATTGTCTTTTTTGTTTGGGGGAACAGCACCAAACTCACTCCTGTATGGAGTGTAAGAGGCTGACCAAGCCTGCCCTTAAACTCTGCTTGCAGTGTATTTGGTCTTTCCTGTGAGAAAAGTCCCTCAAACCTTCGAATCCTACAATTATGGAACCTACCTCGATTCCTGTTTGAGTTGGCAGACCTGGTGTCGGCCCCGACCACGCCGTCGGCAAAACAGAAATTGACTTCCAAGTTGTCCTCAAAGCCAAAAATGGCGTCTAGCTCAAAGCCATCCTTGACACGGGCTCAAGAATCCTCTCCTAAACGAAAGAAGAATCAGGCTAAGTAAAAGAAGGCTAAACATCCTTCTAAGCCTAATCAACTACTGGAGCCTCCTTCTCATCAACCAACTCTTCCATCTCTGATTCTAGAAGAGTCTTCCAGAGAGGTACCTGACTCTTTGTCAGAGGCGGACAATCCTCTCCCACCACCGCCGGGCCAGGCTCCAACCTTTCTACTGAACCTCTCGCCCAGTCATGGCCCTTCGATGGCTGATGTTGTTTCCAACCCAGCCTCAACCCACACGAGCCTTGCATCCACAGGATGGGCAACAGTCATTCAACTCTCCAATTCTGACTCCTCCTTGCGACAATCACCTCACAAGCATCTGGCGAAACGGCACGATCTCTCACCTTCATATCGCGAGCCTCCATATTGGGAGATCTATTATCTACATAAGCCCTCTCGACACCAATGCCCTCCAGACTATTGGGAGACTTATAGTGGAGAGTATGATTGACGTAGACACTGAGGTAACAATATTGACCCATACTGTAAGGTTTACTGTTATGAAGAACCAAAGAGGGTACGCTACACTTATGCCTATCCTTCCGAGTCTTTGCCATCACCTCCCCGGCATTGACATTGTAGTCATTCTTCAAGGCCTTAGACCGCCCCTGTGGTATCAATTCCATCTAAGTCAGTTCTTAAATGTCGCCTACCGCAACCAACTGTGCCTCACCTTGACCAACAATTACCAAAACGCGCCTGTACATCTACCGTACTGGCTCCTACTTCCATCTCCCAACCAAGTATGACACTTTCTCAAGTGAGGTCTTCTTCTCTGCAGGTTACTACTACCTATAGAGGACTAACACCAGCTCCGACAGACACTGACTCTGGTTTGTCTACCCGCCATTCCTCCATCCCTGCTACAATTTTAGCCTCCATGTTGAAGTCTCGGCGTCGCTCACCTTTTTTACCTGGTTCATACACCAGGGGATCCTCAGATACCGCAGTCTCTGACATCTTTGATCTACCTTCTGAGGCTTCCCAAGAATCGCCCTCGAATCTGCCCACTCCAGATTTCAATGTGACTGACAATCACTCGTCCTCACCATCTGAAGACTTCACCTCATAGTCACAATTGGTTCTACGTATGGCAAAGTCCCTTGAGGTTGAGGAGCCACCTCCACCAAAGCAAGACCTTGTATTTGATGATATTAACCAGGACAAATCTCCACTGCTCAGCCTAGCCTTCATCCCAGCCATGCTAGATGTCATAAAGATTCTTGGGAGAAACCATCCTCTTCCCTCCAGATTTCTAGACGGGTGGAGAATCTTTAGAAAACTAATGGGACTGATACTGCATTTCTCACGAAGCATCTACCACCTAACTTGATCATCGAGTCCAATCACTCACGGGCTCAAAGCTGCTCATTGGTACCCCCACTAATAGAGAGGGCAGGAAGTTAGACATCCTTGGCTGCTGTCTTTACTCTCTAGCATACTTTGTTATGTGGGGCACCAATTACCAAGCAGCCATGGGGGCCTACCATAGGCAGCTCTGGAACAATGTGCTTCTACAGGCCTCCCCGGAAGACTCCAGGGCAGGAGCACTCAACATACATATTGAGGCTTCCACCCTTGCAAAACAGCAGCGCATAGCGGCACGCCACATTGCTGATGCAGCCTCTAAGTCTATGGCAACAGCTGTTTGCACTTCACCAGCATGCCTGGCTTCATTTGGTTGGCATTACTGATGATGCCAGATCCTGTATGGAAGACCACCCCTTTGACGGGTGGGACCTCTTCAACGACAAAATGGATGAGATTATGGACAACCTTCATAAAATCTGAAAAACAGCTAAGTCTTACTCCACACAGCAACCATACAGATATCAGTGCACTCAATGGTGCCGCCCTTCCACCTTTCAACAGCCATATAAACAACAATCATATCGCCAATACAAACCTCCTCCTACTGATAGGTCATATCCTGTGCCGTCTCCCTCTGCACATCCGGCTTTCCGGTCTCAGGCCCTGGGTCAGCGTCAAGAACCATTCCGTCACCCGGTGAAGAAAGGGAAATATCTTTGACTTCCACCAGCCCAAGATCCGCAATGATACACCCTTTCATCCCCTTCTGGCCCCTTTCTTTCACAAATGGTCCCTCATCACCAACAGCTACTGAATACTGTCCATCATCCGCTACGGATACCTTCTGGAATTCATAGAACCTCCACCTACAGGCCATCTACGTCATACCCCATACTCACGTGCTCTCCAAGAAGAAGTATCACTCCTTCAGAAACAAGCCATTCAAAGAGTTCCTATACACAATCTCCACACCGGTTTCTTTTCCCAGTATTTCACTGTTTCCAAATGAGATGGAGGTCTCTGTCCTATTCTGGATCTAAGACGTCTCAACACCTATATTCAACCCAGGTGTTTTCAGATGGGCATTTTCGATACCGTCATTCTGCTCCTCTTCTCCAGCAACTGGTTTGTTTTCATAGATCTTCAGGATGCCTATTTCCACATTTCAATTTATCCACACTATCACAGATACCTCCGCTTCATTTTCATGAACTCCACTTACCAATTCTGCTCCCTTCCCTTCGGACTTTCCACCGCTCTGAGGACTTTCACAAAATACCTCGCCCCAGTAGCTGCACACCTTAGTTTCCATGATATAACAGTTTTCCCTTACATAGATGACTGGTTAATTGTTGCGGACTCTTACCACAAGGTCAAAGAGATACTTAGTTCACTCTTCAGACTTTGGCAGACCTCACACTCAAGGTCAATTTCAACAAATCCTGTCTCGAACCCTCCCAAATTATGGAGTACATCACAGCTCATCTTGACTCAACTACAACCAGAGCTTTCCTGCCCCCGAGAGGATAATCAAAGACACACCATACGTCCTTTTCAATCTTTTGCTTCGGTCTTGGCTCATCAGACACAGTGCCTCCTTGGCCAAATGGCTTCAACCACATCAGTTGTTCAACATGCCAGGCTCAAAATGAGGTCCCTTCAAACGTGGTTTCTGTCTCTATTCAACCCGTCTATAGACCACCCTTCAAAACTCCTTTTGGTGACTCTCGAACTGGCAAATCAACTCACCTGTGGACTTTCACTCCACATCTCACTATTGGTCGCTCCTTCTGCCCACTTCAACTCACCATCCAGGTCACGACAGATGCCAGCCCCACAGGATGGAGAGCATACTGTGATAGTCACAGGATCCATGTCCTGTGGTCAAGGAAAGAACAAATGTTGCATATCACGGAACACAAAACAGAATGTGACAATTACTATTCCTGAGTACGAAAGGGCACAAATTCTCTACGAGATGCATTCATGGTAGGCTGGGGAATGGGCCTCCTCTGCCTCTTCCCTCCCATTCCTTTCATTCAATGAACAGTGATCTGACTGTGTCAGTTCCAATCGAACACCATTCTGATAACCCTGTGGTGTCCTTACCAACCCTGGTTCACTCCACTGAGACCCATGTCATCTGACTTCCTTCGACTTCCTCTCCACCCGCACCTGCTGACACAGGACAATGGCAGAGCCATGAAAGATGGTTGAGGGGCCTAACGCTGAGGGAGGCCCAGAAAGAAAACAAGAAACCAGGCCTTCTCAGCAGTGACCCCTCGGCTTTGGAACAATCTCCCATCAGAGATTTGCCTGGCTCCCTTGCTGGGTGTTTTTAAGAGCCAACTTAAGACCTGGCTCTTTAGGCAGGCCTTCCCTCCTGTGACTACTTGATCTTTATTTCTCTATTTTTTATTTTCCTGTCTTTACCGTTTTACTTTTTCATTTGAGCTTCTTATTCCCATCTTGAATGATATCATTGTTGCTTAAATTGTTGTTTTAATTGCTTTTATGCTATTTTATTGTAAGCCGCCCAGAGTAGACATGAATGGGCGAGGTATAAATTGAATGAATGAATGAATGAATGAATGAATGAATGAATGAAATAAATAAGTAAATAAGTAAGTAAGTAAGTAAGTAAGTAAG